CCCTCCACAGATAATCACACCGCTGGTTCTCTTGCTCCTTTACGCTCCCTGCTCTGGGAAGCTCACAGAAAACCAGGCAAAAATCACGGATCTCCTCCAAGCTCCTTTAGCTCTCCCCAGCAGTGGGAGAGGAGAGCTCAGAGCAGAAAGCCTCTAAGTCCTTAAATCCCATCAGATGTTTTGTCCAAGTCTGGGCAACTTGGCCTTGAAACCCCTTGCATGCGAGTTCTGCTAGCGAGCAGGTCTGCAGGTTTTGATCCTTCCCCTTTTGCAGCAGTGCTGTTTCACCAAGGCCAGGGCCAGTGTTTCTGCTGGAAGCACTAAGGCCCCTTTGTCCCTTGGTGGAAGCTGCGGCGAGGTGAAAGCCCTGTCCCCTGGTTTGCGGGGAGCCAAGGAGTGTTCCGTGTGTGTGAGGAAGGGCTGCTCGAGAAACCCCTTCCCTGTGTTCCCTCCAGCCCCAGCACTGCTACGTGCTCCCCAAATCAATATTTGTCCACGCATCGGAGCTTGCAGGGGGCTGACATCACTCCTGGCAGCAGATGAGAAGTGAAGTAATACCACGCTCTACCATCCTGCCCAAATTAAGCATTTCCCTTGTCAAGCAAAGAGCACTGCCCTCTGCTTTTTAAGGGGATCTCTCTCAATGCTGCAGGCAGGGACAGATCTTGCTGTGTGGCTGAACAGCAGCAAAGGGGCTCCAGGCTGGTTCCCTTGGAGCCAGAAGCGTTCAGGTAAAGCAAAAGCACCGAGAGCAGGGGGCAAATACTTTGATTTATGCCCTCTGCTCTGTCTTGTTCTCTTGTTTCCACCTTCCCGGCTGCTGCTCCCAGGCCTTCCCAGCTCGCTCGTGTTGGATCTCGCTGTTTGGCTGCAGCCCGGCTTGCTCCAATCGTTTGCCCGTGGCTGCTGCCGCCAGCACCTCCCATCGGGCTCCCATTGGCACCCAAGACACCCCAGACAAAGCAGCAGGCTCAAGAGCAGCCTCGGGTTTCTCCTCATCCGCCCAAACGGCGGCGGACGAGGGCCCTGTGGCTGCCAGGGAGGCTCGGGGTGCAGAGCTGCCCGCGGGCAACAGCCCTGAGGCTCCACGGACCACGTTTTCCTGCATGGAAACACCCTGTGTCCCAAGGGAGCGCCCACACGGTGCCTGCACCATCAGAAACCCGCACACAGGGATTAACCACGATGACTTTGTGAGAGATGGAGGGCTGCCCGCTCCTTGCTCACGTGGCGACTAAGGCAGAAAGAGGCCAAGAATTGGCTCACGGTACCAGGAGCTCTGTCGTCATCTCCTGCTTCCTTTCTTGCCCTATTAGTAAGAGGACCTGATTAAACTTCTACAACATCCTGGTCTGTGGCAGTGCAGAGCTTTATAACGATCCCACCAAGTCAGGAAGAGCTTCGGTGCCTCTGTTCCCTTCTAGGCCTCAGTGTGGGGACACTGGTGCAGTTGCAGGGCCTTCCTCCCTCGCCTCGCGCCTGCATTCCAGCGGGGTTACCGAATGTCCCTCGTGTCTCCGGGAGTTGTCAGATGTTGCTGTACGTGTAAATGGAGGGGATGGGAGCTGGGTAAAACCTTCATCATCCTTCCTTTTTCTAGAAAAAAAAAAAAAGCCATCTTTTTTGCTGTGACTTGCTCAAGTTTTTTTCTGGGGAGAAAGTAAAAGAAAACACTTTGCTTCAGCACCAAATGAAAAGCTTCAAGCTGCTCAACTTGAGGCAACTTTTCATTTTTAACTATCTTTGGAGCTTGCTTTGCTGAGAGCTGAACTCAGCGAAGCTCTCGTTTCAGCAGACCCCGAACGTTGTTGTAGTAATTTTTGTGGTGTTTTCCCCGTTTTGTTTCATCGAGGCTTTTCCAGCCCCCGCTTTGGGGGCTGTGGGTGCCTCTTGGCGCCCGTCGTGGGGGGCCCCAGGCCCCGCGTGTGGGTGGGGGTG